AAATACACCAATTTGAAGTTGACCAATTTTTGCTCGTTCCAGACATAAGTAGATTTTTAGCAATGGGCCCAATCTAAGATCCATAGGCCGACATTACAGCCATTTCCTCTATCTTCATATTAATTCCAACATTTTATTTTTTGGTAATTAGTATTGTTGCCACCGTCAGCACACTTTGACATGTACGATGCAGTTGTCGTATGAACACTACCACCATTTGTTAAGCACAGTGCTCTCCAATATATGATAATAGTGCTTTTTGAACCATGTTTTACATCCAATGATATTCACAGCACTACATCAGTTTGTCTATGACGTGACGTGCCTATTTCATGACGTGTTAGAGCAGCATATTCCAGACTTAGCCTCAAGTGGTCATTATATGTACAAACATGGTTGAATTTTACTGCCCTAATTTCTGTTCGTCGCACAGTGTTATTTTATGAAGAACTTTTCAAGATTAGGTTTGCATAATTTAAAAGTAAAATTGTGTCATTAAAAAATGCTGATAATAGAAAAAAATATATGTAGGATGATCAGTAGGGTGTTTCAAAATAGGTCAATCCTGGGATTTCAAACGCTACCCCCTGGAATGGTAGTTAGGGGAGTCAGAAACACCCTGAAATAATTTGAAGTCATTTGCTTTACGGGAACCCCTAGCTCAAACGGCTTGAAGTTTGTATGGGGAGAATCGACAAAATGTATGGGGGAGCGAGCCACTTTCACATTAGCAACTCTAGGTGGCGCTGTAGTGGGTCAATTTCTTCGTGTACAAAATGTAGAACCGTGTACAAAATGTAGAAATGTAGTATTGGGAACATCTTGGCTGAAGACCAGATGTGAATCCGAGTTACCCCCAAAATAATTATTAGCATTTCAAATGAACACCACCTGCCTTACTTTTGGGGAGGCCCTACGCGCGTTGTGCGTTTTTTTATTACGAATAGCAATGTTTGCATAGCGGCGCCGGTGGTGTAGTGGTAAGCGTGATTACTTCTCACCTCAGCAGGCCTGGGTTCAATCCCAGTCGGCGCCGCCGGGATGTTCTGAGGCATAACATCTCTGATCACGCCTTCAGAGTTGATGGGTCGATAGGTAGGGTCCAGGTGTGGGAGCTGCCTCTCTGGCGTCGGTAGCATTGGTGCTCAGCACGGAAAACAAGATCGACGGAAAACAAATCAAGGAAAAAAAAAAAAAAAGCAATGTTTGCATGTATATAACTTTATTGTTTAACAATGAAATTGGTTGAAATTTTCACAGTGAGTAGAAAAATGTTCGAAATTAAGGTCTACTAAAAATTGGAACAGATTGGCCAAGTGGTTCCGGGTTTCCGAGAGACCATCGGGGGTAGAAAAGGTACCAGTCGTCTACAACAAGGTGGTGCTGGAAATCCACAGCAACAAGCATCTCTGGGTACTGCTGATTTATATTTTAATAAAACCAGCCCACAGCCTGGTTCTAAATACTGAGTGTACACCGGAAGGCCATCAGGTGACTCGTATCAACCTTAATCGTGATTATTATGTATTTTTGATCTAAGTAGGCCTTGATTATTCTCTGCAACTATATCAGGCGTAACATTTGATAACGGCACAAAAGATTTTGTAAACAAACTTTTTAAGGCCCTTTACACGCGAACCAAAGTACGCCCACGGAAATCAATACCACTTTCGGAAAGGTGAGAGAGGCCCCTACCCGATGATGTTGTTGGTTGATTGTAGATGTAGAGATGTGAGATGTAGTAAAATTGTGATTTTTGACATATACACACTTAATTTAGATCGGTAAAATCTCCAACAGCCGATTACCTCGGCATTTACTTTTGCTGATATCTCTGCAAAATATCTGTTTGTTAGCTGATATCTCACCAAAATTTTATTTGTTAGCTGAGTCTCGGCAATTGTTTTACTGAATCTCAGCAAAATAAATTGCAGAACTGCTCGGCTGTTGAAATCTAAGCGAAAAAAAAATTAAGTGTGTAAGCTGATCATTGGCTCACAGTGGTCACCAAATGGTCTGCCAGAAAATTCGGAAAATCTGTAAATTGATTGCTTTGTAAATTTGATCAAAGAAGGCTTTGATTTATTCTGTTACAAAATGGAATGTAGTAAAATGGTCATTTTTCATATATTAGCTGGTAATTGCTGCTAGTTGGTCCACCGGATGATCTACAGCATCCGTAAAATGTATTACTTCGTAAATTTGATCAAAGTAGGGCATGATTTTTCTCTGCATTTATATCCAATGTGGGAAAATGGTGTTTGCTCATATATTTGCTGATAAGTGGCTCCGGAGGTGTCAACAGATGGTCTGCAGGATGATCCAGATCATCCGTAAAATTGATTATTGTGTAAATTGAATCAAAGTTGGCCTTGATTTGATTTAACACCTAATGGAATGATGTAAAAAGCGATTTTTTTATACTAACTTGTCATTGCTTCTAATTGGTCACCAGATGCCCCCACGGAACATCTGTTAAGTTGATAATATCGTGTATTTGTGAAATATAAGGCTTTTCCACATAACGCTGAAACACTCTACTATATACTCACACTTAGAATTGATTACCGACTTCGGTAATTTTTACCGAACTTTCAACAGCTGAACTGTGGAAAGACTCGATTGTTTAAACATGTCAATCTTAAACATGTGTTTTGAAATTAAAATTTTGTGAATCAGTTTTTGAAATATCAAAATATCAAATATCAAACGTATTTGAAATATCAAAGATATACGTTCAGCTGTTGAAAGTTTGGTTAAATTTTTACCGAAGTCGGTAATAATTTCTAACTGTGCTGATTCGAAATAATTTGAAAGCAAAAACAATCCAAAACTAGCATAATGGAGCCGAGGGATGCTGATCCGCACCTAAATAAACAAAGTTTCCATAATAGATGCATATTGATTTCATAACACTAAAATATAACATGCTAAAAAGGAACTGCAAAAATACGGTTTCAATCAATTCATCATAAAATCAGTTTCAAGTACTTAGAATATTCGATGTACTAAATTGTTACAAAGAAATTTCATATTGATTCACTGTACAGCATTATAATTCAAAGATTAAAAATAGTAAAAATCTGTGTTCATCAGTCCCATATGGATAATGGTAGTCCTTTAAACAACTAGTGCATATATTTGTTATCTCAAAATTTGCAAAAATCCATATGGGACTGATATGCGATTATTGGTGGATTTAAATATTGTTGAAACTATAAGTACCAAAATGTAAATTTTCGACACAACTATGATTTACCGAGAAAACACCAGAGCACAGTTTCATACACGTTCAAACCATTTAAGTACACCCAACCGGGAAATGTAAGATTCTGTTACAGCATTGCATGAAAAGTATGCATAATTTGCAATGTTTTGTGACATGAAAAGATTCTGTAATGTGGTCGTCAAAAGGGTTTTAAATGATTTTGTAATTTTTATGATAGCTTATTTTTCAAAAATAGTTTGTTTCCCAAATGCATTGCATCTAAAAAATCATCTCGTGAAGGTTTTATACAAAAATATGCATTTTGGAAAACTTCCTTGTACGCTTCCGTCCATTGCAAGAACTGCTATTACATATACTGTATGAAACATATGCAGAGAATGTAGTAAATCCAACCTTACATTGGATGCAACAGAAATTTGAACTGCGTGTTTGTAATGTGATAAACAGGTTCATGATAAGTTGAGGAAGTGACGATTTAACGATTTAACGTTCCATTTGACCTAGTGACCCCTTAAAAAAAATAAAATAAAATAAAATACCCCAATATTTGCAAACGCAGCTACGTACTTGTCACAAATTTGAAATGTAATGCAATGCACATCAAAGCTACCGCAACCATTCTGTTTGTTGCAACATGTTTCCGTTCAAGCTTGTTGGGATTATTAGTGCACGTCTGTGTTAATGAAATGATCTAATTTTAGTTTTCTTAGTTAATTAAGTCATAATTGTAAATAGGTTTTCAGTAAAACTAAATTTTACTCAAAGATTATACTCGAGCAACACAATTTCCATAGATCTATAGATTAGTTCAATTCACTTGATCACGATGATCTGAGGACCTAAGTGAATTGCCTCAGTAATATATTAAGAGTGACATGCTTGGAAGAAGTCTGTTTACCGCGTTTACCGTTTCAAATAACAAAAACAACAACAGAGCACGGTAATAAAATAATGCGCGCGCAGCTCATATGCTTCAGACTGCGAACCTCATAGCATCAGGTCCTCGCCGCTGTACCGTTCTAGCTTGAATTCCGAACGTTTGAAATTGTTAATAGATCTCCTTTTTCTAGAATAAAAATTGCATGAATACTTTGGTGTACATTTCTGGAATATGTATCCACATTAAATTAAATGCTTAATTTTTAAAGCGAAATGAAGTCCGACTACCCACGGTACTACCACTCAACGAGGGTCGATTTTATTATCAACACTGTGTTTGGAGCGCATATTGTAGCGCACTCATTAAATAGTGGCCGTTTTCTTGATGCTAGGCGCATCGGACGCGTAGTACGTCGCCACTTTTTGCCGAGAGTAGCCGCCACGGGCGGAGTATATCGTATCTACACGCGAAAATCCCGGCATATTTACATTTCCAGAAGCTAGAACCGATCAGCGTTCGTGTATATTTATCTCCCCGAGATAAACATTCCCTAAGGTTAGTGAAGATATTCGATCTCGCACTTGGCCGCGAGAGAAAGTTCATTTAGCCGGCTTTTTGAACTTGGAATTATGTGCTGATGAAATGCAGCTATCACGCTTGAAGCGTAAATTTGATTGCATCTATTGAATCGTTTGCCGACACAAAATTGATTTGCATCTACACTGCCAGAGCGGGCAAAAGTGATTTACGGTGTTCGAGCGAACCAAAAGTCATCAGTGCCTTTGAGGAGGGCGTTAATTGAAGGCAATTCTTATTTGCATCACCCAACTGTCGTCGGAGAGATTCTAAACGGCGTAATTCCTTCTATGTGTCATTCTCTTTTATCCACAGATGACCCGATACAAGCAGGCACAGTTTGCCGATGAGGATAGCAGTAGCATTGGCTCAGTCCAGATCACAGAAACCAGACACAGTCCGACGAGGCACATTCGTTATCACACAGCCAGGGGGACTGCACTGTGGAATGCCCGGAGCAGACTGGAGAAGGTGCTCCTCCTGTTGGTGCTGATATCGGTTGTGACGATTGTCGTACTGATCAGCATACTGGCAACCGAGAGCACCAGGATACTGCACGTGCAGCCTCACGTGGACTCCAACATATACAAAGGTGGGTAATGTCATTTGCAAATTTGCTTTTGTGGATTGGGTAATTATCATTGTTGGGATGGGAGCTAGAATAACATTTTGGGCTGCAGTTTTGAAAAACTCAATTTGGGAGTTGTATTTTCACATCTACGTCGTATGTTTAGCTTTAGAGTGATGCAAACATTCTTTTTTTTATATATACACTATCCCAATAATGTAAAAGTAAATTATCGTCACGGTCTGTGATCTTGGCAGTAACAACAAGGTCAAGCTTTTAAAATTTCTCAAAGCATGAATCATACTGATAATGAGCTCTTTATATAACGGACATTTTTCGGCTGAGCAGTCACAACCCAAGAAACTTCAGTTGATAAAGATCTACATCAAGGTCAGTGTTTAAAAAAGTTTGCGGTTGAACGTTAAGGTTGTAGGTGATAAAATTAAATGATATAAAATATGTTTTGGAACCATGACAGTGGTTGAAGATGAAATAAATAGAAACGGGAAATAAGATCAAATTATGTAGATTGAAAATTGTGGTAAAGAGCGACATCAATTGAATAGTTTTTAAAATAATTCAACCTGTTTAATCATGCTCTCTTGTCGTGCAGATGCATTTTGTTTTGTTTTTGCTGAAGTGTTGTAACTACCAAAAGCTACAAAAACTTTAAATCATAGGGGAAACTGGTATGCGCCTCTCACCTCAAAGGACCTGGGTTCAATCTCCGTCGGTGCCACCGGGATTTTCTGTGGCCTGAAATCTCCGATCACGAAGTAAAGCCGTTGGTCCTTGGTCTATAGGTCCAGGCGTGGGAGCTGCCTCCCTGGTACTCAGTACGAAAATCGACGGATCGACGGAAAACAAATCAAGGAAAAAAAAAAAGAAACTGGGCACACTTGATTCCCAGCAACACTTGATTTCCTCCTGTTTTTCTCAAAGCTCAGTTTTTTTTTCAGGTGAGCTTCCACAAAGCTTTGTTTTCATAGAAGGTAAAGTTATGGTGACATTTGCGTTAAATTGTGGAACGTATTTATTTTTGAGAGCAGTTTTTATGTTTTCACAGCCGCACAGCGCACTGTGAACAAGTAGAATCAATTATAATCATTGAATTTGTGATATTTATTTTGATTTTAAGTAGAAAATTCAGTAAGGAGAGACTTGATCCCTCAAGGATTAAACACACTTAAACCTGATAAAAGTGTGAACATTCTTGAACTCTGTATGGGTATACTTGATTCCTCAGATCACGGGATGTTTTTTTTTTTTAAATAATCTAAAGAATATCAAAACGGTGCCGGTGGTGTAGTGGTAAGCGTGATTACCTCTCACCCCAGCAGGCCTGGGTTCAATCCCAGTCGGCGCCGCTGGGATGTTCTGAGGCATAACATCTCTGATCACGCCTTCCTTCGGATGGGAAGTAAAGCCGTTGGTCCCCGGTTCATGAGTTGATGGGTCGATAGGTAGGGTCCAGGTGTGGGAGCTGCCTTCCTGGCACGTCGGTAGCATTGGTGCTATGTCTCAGAGCATCCCGGCGGCGCCGACTGGAATTGAACCCAGGCCTGCTGTGGTGAAATGTAATCACGCTTACCACTACACCACCGGCGCCACTCTCTCTTTAGGGATATAAGAGTTTGTTCAATACAAACTTATATTTCAACTTTATGCGTTGATTTCATGCATAGTTATGGTGAAAATAATCAAGTTCTCATGTAAAAAATGTACTATTGGATAACAATGTTTTTTTTTTGATAATACGAATACAAAGCACAACGATAAAATAAAAATAGAATACAGTCAACTCGGTGTCCATTAATTCGATATTGAGTTATAGAACCATAGTAAAAATGACTTGCTGTGATAACGAATTTGTTTGGGATTGTTAATCTATAACTCGATGGTCCCATGAACATCAAGTTGGAGAGAGTTCACTGAATATTGTTTCAACGATAGAATCTATTGTAAATGGAGAAATCTAAAATAGACCAAGGGGAAATCTAAAATTAACCATAGAAAAAAATCTCTTTTTTTCTGAACACACATCCCAAGTAACCAAAAGTTCTGATAAAAGGCTATTTATGGCTTAAGCACCTTGGTTGAAGGTGGTCTATAGAATTCTAAGCAGCCTCATTTTTAAGTCGTTATAAGAACTTGAAAGTTCCGGTACCATAATTGAAGAGCATTCTAAGCAGCCTCTGGCGGAACTTGAACGGAACTTTTAGAAAATAAATTAAAAAAGGTTTTTGTCCTCTACACCAATTCTATATTTTGTTCGCAGTTTTATGAACGTTATTTCTAAAGGCAGGTATTAATTGTGTATTGATTTATCAGCATTAGTAGTTGTAATGGATCTGTTGGAAGAATTAAACCCAGTCCTTCTGCGTGAGAGTCTCAGCACGAACCACTACGTCATCTGAAATATATTAAAGTGAGCTCTTGTCCCGCCTATTGTTGGAGTTTTCTGAGCCAGCTGACTGACTTGAATACGAAACACAACACCTTGATGAATTTAAATTGGTGTTTGCCCGCATGGTATTCCATCACACTTGTGGCGCAGTGGTTAGCAATCGTAGATCACATGCCGAATACACGGGTTCGAATCCAGGAAATTACTTTTTTTTTGGATATAATGTTGCATAAATACAAGAATTATGATTTATTCGGGCCACTGATTATTTCATATTTACGTACATTAAATTTTGTTACAAAAAAAGATTTGTGCGGATTGCTTCATGTGGCTTGAATGTTCTGTTGGAACTTTATTTGAACTTTATGGAACTTGAAAGTTCTGTCGGAACTTTATTTGAACTTTATGGAACTTGAAAGTTCTGTCGGAACTTTATTTGAACTTAATGGAACTTGAAAGTTCTGTTGGAACTTTATTTGAACTTTATGGAACTTGAAAGTTCTGACGGAACTTTATTTGAACTTTATGGAACTTGAAAGTTCTGACGGAACTTTATTTGAACTTTATGGAACTTGAATGTTCTGTCGGAACTTTATTTGAACTTTATGGAACTTGGAAGTGTTGAATGCGGAACTTTTGGTTACTTGGGATGAGCTCATTGTAGATCTGATGTAATAACGATTTGTCAATTTTGAATGTATGATAAACGCACAGTAAAATTATTTGTTGGCAATATATTTTATTGTATTTTTCTGCGGTAATTTTTCGCTGTCTGGGTAGTACCGAAAATTATTGTTTATAGCGAAGTATGTGGAATCAACCTTATTGACGAGCAAAGTTAGATGACTAACAATAAAGTTTAATTCTCTAAAACATACTGAAAAAGTGTTTATCGGTAGTGAAAAAAGTAGAAGGGTCTGTGCCTAGGGGCACGAACGGAAGCTTGACGTAGGACCGCTAGTTGACGGAATAGATGTGAAGAGCATTTAGTTCTTTTAATTGATCAATTATCTATTATCTCAACTCTTTCCGTTTTTGAATTGTAGGCGTACCAAATTTGTAGTAATTTTTTTCAAAGAGAAAGTTGATTAAGAGAATCAATCAAACTCACTTGCACCCCTGCTTCCAAGTCTGGTTACAAGATTACAACTCTGGAGAGCATTTTGTGTGGTCGTTGGGGGCTTGTGGTTCTGAATATGGACAAACAAGCACAGATAAATTCTATTGCAACTCTTTACTTATGTAAGCCTGATGGCCCTGAAAAGGGCCGTTTTATTGAAGAGGACACCCATGGCCACTTACGCTTAGCGTGTTTAGTGTAGGTGACAGCATCACGGACCTCATTTTCCAGGAACACCTTCAGCACACCTCGTAGATCCCGACCGGAGATACATTTGACACCACCACGGCGAGCCGGACGACGGAAGGCGGTTATCTCGAAGAACTTTTCGATGACTCTTGGCGCCTCCTTTACCAGACCTGTTCCTTCTTTGCCACAACAATTGTTGCTTGTTAGGTGTAAAGGAGTTGCTGTTCACTATACAGCAGCGCTCTTTTATATCTTTTCAGGTTAAAGCAGAATGATGTGCAACCAAGTAGTGGTATAAAAGCTACAAAGACTCCTCTCATTATGACTAGTTTGCTATCAAGTAGCGACACTGCCTCTTTTCCTTTTGCGTACACGGCGAATGAGAACGACCCAAATTTGAGTTTAGTTCACTCATAATCGCCAAAAGTGCAGGAACTCAGCGATGAGTAAATTTGTCTCATGGCTTCCTGTGCAAAACCTAAAAAATCTGCCAGAAAATGAGGAAATTTGATTAAAATTTTATTCAGTCTCGGAGTAGTACCAATACACTGAGTGAATCCAATCTTTACTTTCCTCAAATTCGGGAATTTTTCCCTGGAAAAATCTGAGAAAACATGAGGCAAATTTAATCATCGCTGAGTTCCTGCACTTTATTTCTTATTTCTGAGATAACTAAACTCAAATTTGGGTCGATCTCATTCGCCGTGATATCACCTTGAAAGATATCAGTGCCGGTGGTTGGCCTGGGTCCAATCTCAGTCGGCTCCACCGGCATGTTCTAAGGCATAACATCTCTGATCACGCCTTCCTTCGAGAAGTAAAGCCGTTGGTCCCCGGTTGAGTTGATGGATCGATTGGTAGGGTCCAGGTGTGGGAGCTGCCTCCCTGGCGTCGGTAGCATTGGAGTTCAATACGGAAAACAAATCTCGCGTCACTTTTCAATAGGTCCTATCTACATTGATCGATTCTCTTCATCGACACTCTCTTTCGTAAATAACTCTGCTTCACAAATGTTTCCTGCCGTCTTCGTCGAATTAGATGCTAGATTGTTGCTTCTTCCATCGAAAATATCCGGCCGTGGCGATTCCAAGTTTATCAAGGTTGATCAAAATAATTTATACCCCTGCTTCCAGTATAATTACATGCGCATTTTGTGTGGTCGTTGGTTCTGAATATGGACAAACAGGCAGATGGCTTATATTCATTCCTACTCTTTACTGTAATAAGCTTGGTGGCCCTGAAAAGAGCCGTTTTCTTGCCAAAGTTGGTGATGATTTAACCTCCGAAACCAAACAGAGTGCGTCTCTG